AAAAAAAAAAAAAAAAAACTTTACTCATATTTGTTTTCCACAACAACCGTGTATTTTTTTTCTTTTCTTTCTTTCTGTATTGATCACATAAGAGACCTTTTTCGTAATAACCCTATACTTATAAAGAATAAAAATAAAAATCAGCCCCATCCACACAATGCATATATATGTTCGAATTCCAACCCTAACCCGGGAACAAACCAGCGCAAACTGCTTTGACGAGACAATTTTCAAACGACAATCATTCTGCAAGCACATCTATTTTGTTTTACGCACAAAACAAAAACCGCGAAGAGAAAAGAAAAAAAAAATAAAATAAATCAAATAAGAGCACATAGCTGCGCACTGCAACCTCATCGCATTCAAAAAGAACCTCCGTAGCAATATAACCCTCGTTCGATAAATCGAGACTCGACCCCAAGGGGTTGTTGTTGGATCAAACCACCGCGAGGTTGGGGGGGGATACTATACGCATCAACGAAGGGGTGGGGGAACGCAGGCGCCCTCTCAGTAGACGGAAGAGAGCTCGGACGGACGGACGCGAGTGCAGTGCGGCCACACAAGCCCCCCCCCCCTGCCCCTCTATACTACGGACACCCATAGTGTATACACGATACGCATAAACTCGTCGCGCCAGGGACCCTTTTTTTTTTTTTTATTCATCATCGAGCATACATACTTCGATTTCTACGACAAAATAAAAAAAAGCTAATCAGCCAGTGAGTTTGTGTGTAGGGGGCGTGCACGCTTGTGTACGGTCATGTGGATTTGTGTTTTATTCAACAGAGAAACAAAATTACACGAAAGGTAGTGTAACAAAAAAAAAAGGGGGGGGTGGGAGAGAATAAGGATGAGGGTGGCTCTTTTGGCCATCGCGCACACGAGGAGGAAGGGGGTGGAGGTTACGTCGTGGCCCACCACCAGGGCGCGATGCTTGCCCGTTGTCGTCGGGGCCAGCAACTCTCTGTGATTGATTATATTCCCGTAGTTGTGTCTGTTGCGTTTTTAAATTGAGGAGGAAATGGAAAATGCAGTGATTTGCCTCGTGCCTCAATTTTCAAGGTAACAACGTGCATAGGTGTTTTAAAGCGTGTGGCCAAAAAAAAAAAAAAAAAAATTAAAAAAATGCAAGAGTTTTCGTGACCCTGTACACTTTATTGACAAATAACGCGACGTACCAGGAACTTGAGACACAGTGTATACAAAGATACATTGATATTTGTACTTGTAACAATAAGCATCAGGGGGACTCCACATCCGTTCCGGAAAAGACGGTCGACCGCATCAGGACAACAAGGTACGTTGTTGGTGGGTTAACGGGTGAGGGCTGTCAGCCCTCGTTTCCCACTCAATATATGTATACACCCCTTCGTACCAAATAACAAACAAAACAAAATTTACAAAAAAGTAAAAAATACAAAGCAGCGGGGGTTGATGGTATAGCAAGGCTCATCATCATCATCGTCATGAGGTATAACACACACACACACATTGGCTGGCAGTGCTGGTATAGAGCCAGAATACTACGTATGTATGTATGTATTGTATGTATATAGAGGGAGAGAGAAGAGGGGTATACGGCACGCTCAACGTGTTGGATCGATTCCCCTTTCTTGAGTCGTGTGCGAGGCGACACCGCGCTCTCTCTCTCTCTCTCTCTTCAACCCCCTGTGGTTCATCCGCATGTAACACACGCTTACAGATATATACACGCAAAGGTGCAAACACGTTTGGTGTTGGTATATTGCCTATAGACCATCGAACACACGCGCCTTGTGCTCTTCCCCCCCCCCCCATTGGATACGTATCCTAAAAAGGGGATTGTTACTAGCCATCATATAACATATTACTAAATAGTTATCTGTTGCTAAAATACAACGTATAATGTATACGTATATGGGCTTACATGTACACCTGTACGTATATAAATTATTCAGTCCCATCCGCAGCTCTTCCCATGAAATTCCTAGTACCTTTCTGTATACGTATACACAGGCATCATCCCTTCAATGAGGGTAGTTGCTTACTTCTGTCCTCATTCCCTCTGCTCTCTCTCTCTTCTCGACCCACGAATCCGGAACTAAATAAGGATACTTATATGCCTATATACGCTCGTCTTCTTCCTCGTTTTTTTGGCGCACAGGACAAAATACCTCAAGGGGTTCGAAAGGCGGGGGTGGGGGGGGGAGGAGTTTAGAAATTCAAGCTGCATCCCCCATACAACGCACATACGTCAACCAACTACGCACGAATTTACGCAAATGTCCTACATATTGAGCTTGCGTCTATACACACGAAACCCTCCTCTCCCACCCGCTCATCCAGCTCATTTGTTCGGATTGCGATAGACCCCCCTCCCCCCCCCCAGCAAGCATCATGTGTGTTTGCGTGCTCGCGATTGTGTGTGCTCACCTTTATCAACAATCCGTCATCTAATCGTGCAGTGTATACTTTTTTTTTTAATTTCCTCTCTCTTTCCCCTCGTCTTTGCTCGCTTTTCTCCGATGCCTGTTTGCGAGTGTACCCAACGTATAGCTTCGTTATCGCTATGTGCAATTAATCCTGCCCCCCCCTCCCTCCCTTTTTTTTCAATTTTTACGCTCTTAGCAGCAGATCGGCCCCTGACTCTATTGATCACAAAAAGCACATTTTTCCTGCATTGTTCGTCCATATCGACGAAAACACAAGTATATGAGTTGTGACACACAATTCCTCCCTTCCACGCAAGTGTCCTGTTTCGGAGGAGAAAACAAAAAAAAAAAAAAGAA